CAGAATCGTTACTTAGGGCCACAGAATTGTTACTTAGGGACAGACACAGAATTGTTACTGAGGGGCACAGATTTGTTACTGAGGGCCACAGAATCGTTACTTAGGGCCACAGAAACGTTACTTAGGGCCACAGAAACGTTACTTAGGGCCACAGAATTGTTACTTAGGGACAGTGTTAGGAATGGACTGGCCAGCAATGGTGGGACTCGCCTGCCTTTTGATCTGCAGTACCAGGGCTGGCCAGCGGGTGCTCCCAGCAATCAGAGACTCAACCTTTCAGCCAGCTAACACCTGGAACTGATGATACTGGTGTATTTAAGGGATGGCCAGACTTGCAGACTCTGCCTTGGTGTTGTGTTTGTCCTGGGCCCTGTATCTGTCCTGCATCCTGTTTCTGTTCCTTTGCTGACTTCTCCTGCTCTGATCCTGGCTTGTGACCCTGACCATCCCTCTGTCTGACCCTCTGTACTACGCTGCTTGCTACCTGTTCTGATCCCTGGCTTGTGACCCGGACCATCCCTCTGCCTGACCCTCTGTACTATGCTGCTTGCTACCTGCTGAACCTGGCCTGTGACCCCGACCATTCTCCGCTTGCTCCCCCTGTACCTACCTGCCCAATTGATATTGACCCGGCCTGCCTGACGACGCTTGCTTGTATATACTGTTATCTGTGGGTGGTTTGGTTTGGTTTGTTTGCACCGTATTATGTTTTAGTATTGCACTGCGTTTATGTTTGTACTGTTAGTGTTAATAAATTATATTGTTTATAACATATCTGAGGTCTGCGTTTCCCTGCTTTCACACACACCTCTGGTCATACCTGGGAGCCCTGACAGACAGACACAGAATTGTTATTGAGGGACACAGAATTGTTACTGAGGGCCACAGAACCGTTACTTAGGGCCACAGAAACGTTACTTAGGGCCACAGAATTGTTACTTAGGGACAGACACAGAATTGTTACTGAGGGACACAGATTTGTTACTGAGGGCCACAGAAACGTTACTTAGGGCCACAGAAACGTTACTTAGGGCCACAGAATCGTTAGTTAGGGCCACAGAAACGTTACTTAGGGACACAGAATTGTTACTCAGGGACAGACACAGAATTGTTACTGAGGGATACAGAATTGTTACTGAGGGACACAGAATCGTTACTTAGGGCCACAGAAACGTTACTTAGGGCCACAGAAACGTTACTTAGGGCCACACACAGAATTGTTATTGAGGGACACAGAATTGTTACTGAGGGCCACAGAATTGTTACTTAGGGACACAGACACAGAATTGTTACTGAGGGACACAGATTTGTTACTGAGGGCCACAGAAACGTTACTTAGGGCCACAGAAACGTTACTTAGGGCCACAGAATCGTTACTTAGGGCCACAGAAACGTTACTTAGGGCCACAGAAACGTTACTTAGGGCCACAGAATTGTTACTTAGGGACAGACACAGAATTGTTACTGAGGGACACAGATTTGTTACTGAGGGCCACAGAAACGTTACTTAGGGCCACAGAAACGTTACTTAGGGCCACAGAATCGTTACTTAGGGCCACAGAAACGTTACTTAGGGCCACAGAAACGTTACTTAGGGCCACAGAATTTTTACTCAGGGACAGACACAGAATTGTTACTGAGGGATACAGAATTGTTACTGAGGGACACAGAACCGTTACTTAGGGCCACAGAAACGTTACTTAGGGCCACAGAATTGTTACTTAGGGACAGACACAGAATTGTTACTGAGGGACACAGATTTGTTACTGAGGGCCACAGAATCGTTACTTAGGGCCACAGAAACGTTACTTAGGGCCACAGAAACGTTACTTAGGCCACTTGCCTCTGTCCTTTGGTGTTCCCTCACCAAGCGAAGTATCGCATGCTGTGGGCTCAGCCCCACTGTACAGTGAGGAAGAGCTAACAGAGGGCGGTCAGGAACGGGGGGAGACATCCGCCTCTTCAGCAGCCATGCGAAGAAGTAGTGGCGAGGAGAGTGGCTCGGTAGCCGGTCTAGAGACAGGTCTGTCTCCTGACCCACACGCAGCCGAGGGGGCTAGTAGTGAGGCGGAGACCCTAATTGAATTGATGATGATGAGGCTGATCGCACTTGGCAGCCTCGTCGTCATCAGGCTATTGCTTCCGCATCATCAGGAGAAGAGGGTGGCAGCTTGGCAGCGAGCAAAACAGTCGGTGGGTTGCCCAGGACTGGCAGCAGGTCGCAGCAGTGTCAGTGGAGGCAAACGGCCACGGAGTACAGCACCAGCTCCACTGCAGCCTACCACCACGGCCAGTAGTGGTGCGGGTGTGCACGGAGGAAGCAGCAGTCAGCCAGTGAGGAGTATCGGGGGCAAAGTTTCCTACTCGGCGGTGTGGCAATTTTTTGTCAAGCCGCCCGAGGAAGTAAACGTAGCCGTATGTCGACTATGTGGCCAGAAAGTCAAGCGTGGCCAGGGGGCCCATGTTGGGACTACAGCGTTGCGGCAGCATATGCAGCGTCGCCATTTGGTGGCCTGGGAAAACCGTGATAAAGATACGGTGGTTTCTGCCCCCCAGCCCCCGCTCCATCACCCGCTCCGTTACTTGCTCCGTCACCCGATGTCAATCGCCCTCTATCAGCCAGTCAAGGCTCCAACACCTCTGCTGAGGGGAGTTGTCGTTCATTGGCATCTTCCGCTCGTTCAGATGCTCCTTCTCCTGCTACTCCTCTTCACGGATTCCGTCAGCAGTCTTTCTTGGAATCCGTTTCCAAGAGACAACAGTTTGCGAGCACGCACCCGACGGTGCAAAAGCTGAACGTCCTCCTGTCCAAGTTGCTGGTGCTGCAGTCCCTCCCTTTCCAAGTGGTGGACTCAGCACCTTTCCGAGAAATGATGGCTTGTGCCGCGCCGCGGTGGAGAGTGCCAAGCCGTCATTTCTTTGCCAAAAAGGCAGTGCCAGCCCTGCATTCACATGTAGAAGAGATGGTGGGCCAGTCTTTGAGCATGTCGGTCTCTGCCAAAGTGCACGGCAGCGCCGACGTGTGGAGCTGTAACTACGGTCAGGGACAGTACATGTCATTTACGGCCCACTGGGTGAACGTGGTGCCGTCACAGCCGCACCAGCAACTTGGACAGGTCACGCCGCTTTTGCCTCCACGTTTGCACGTCCTTGGTCCAGCAAAGATGTCCGCCTCTACCACCTCTTCTTCCTTCGTGTCCTCAGCCGCCACCTCCGTGCCAAGTCCCATTACCCGACCGGCATATCACATGTGCAGGGCGCAACGGTGTCACGCTGTGCTGCACCTGGTATGCCTTGGCGAACGTAGTCACACAGGGGAGGAACTTCTCAGTGTAATGAAACAGAGAAATCGACAGATGGCTGTCTCCGCGCAAACTCAAAATCGGAACCATGTTGACCGACAACGGAAAGAACATGGTGTCTGCTCTGCGTCAAGGAAGGTTGTGCCATGCGCCATGCATGGCTCACGTGTTCAATCTGGTTGTCAAGCGGTTCCTAAAATCCACCATCCCACTGCAAGACATCCTTAAAATGTCACGTAAACTTTGCATGCATTTCAGCCATTCCTACACCGCAAAGCACACCCTCCTTGAGCTGCAGCGGCAGAATGGAATTGCACAGCATCGCCTGATCTGCGACGTTGCAACAAGGTGGAATTCAACCCTACACATGTTAGACCGCCTTTACGAACAGCGAAAGGCCATCACCGATTTCCTGATGTTACAAGCGGATAAAGGTACTCCCCTGTGTAACTTCGATGTCAGCCATTGGCAGCTCATGCGTGACACCTGCCGCTTGCTCAGGCCCTTTGAGGAGGCCACGCTATTCGTGAGTCGGCAGGACTATGGGATGAGCGACGTCATTCCTCTGTTGCACGTCCTGGAACAAATGCTGTTAACAATGGCTGGTCAGGGTGCGGTAGACGTGGCGCACAGATCTCAACGCCACATGACCCCTGTGGGGGCAGGACAGGAAGAAGAGGAGGAGGTAGAGGAGGACATTTGTGCTCAGGAATTATTGAGTGAAATGGGTGGTTTTTCCACTCAGCGGACAGGAGTGGAGGAGCAGGAGCATCTGGTAGAGGAGGAGGAGGAGGAGACAGAGGACCCAGACGCACCGTGGCAGTATGCTGTGGAGATGGAGGCAGGGAGTCCCTCGCATTCCTTGGCACAAATGGCCCATAGCATGCTCGCTTGCTTGCGTAGCGACAGCCAAATAATAACCATCAGACAGAGGGATGACTTTTGGCTGTCCACCTTGTACGGCCTCCCATTGCTGCTGTCTCCATCGCCACACTCTGCCATGTGCCACTTTCAGGTCTCCTCACACACTGCTGGTGTGTTCAATTTTTTGACATAGGGTGCTGGCAGATTACGGGCCTCCCATAGCTGCTGCCAGGCCCCTAATCTGCCATGGGCCCCTATACCGCCTCCTCATGCTGCTGCCAAGTCCAGAGTCTCTCATGGGTCCCTGTACGGCCTCCCATTGCTGCTGTCTCCATCGCCACACTCTTCCATGTGCCACTTTCAGGTCTCCTCACACTGCTGGTGTGTTCCATTTTTTGTCATAGGGTGCTGGCAGATTACGGGCCTCCCATAGCTGCTGCCAGGCCCCTAATCTGCCATGGGCCCCTATACCGCCTCCTCATGCTGCTGCCAGGTCCACAGTGTCTCATGCCATGTGCCACTTTCAGGTCTCCTCACACTGCTGGTGTGTTCCATTTTTTTTACATAGGGTGCTGGCAGATTATGGGCCTCCCATAGCTGCTGCCAGGCCCCTAATCTGCCATGGGCCCCTATACCGCCTCCTCATGCTGCTGCCAAGTCCAGAGTCTCTCATGGGTCCCTGTACGGCCTCCCATTGCTGCTGTCTCCATCGCCACACTCTGCCATGTGCCACTTTCAGGTCTCCTCACACACTGCTGGTGTGTTCAATTTTTTGACATAGGGTGCTGGCAGATTACGGGCCTCCCATAGCTGCTGCCAGGCCCCTAATCTGCC